CTTTTGCCTATTCTGGGCTCGCCCATTATTCCACGCCTTAACTTCCAAAGAATCCTTGAGGTGGTTATCAGGTTCTTTTGTGCCCTAGCAAAGGCTTACGCTTCCCCCAGCCGTCAGTAGGGATTGATTTCCCACCTGGAGCTTAGTATTTGGTCCTTAGCGGCTTAGTAGGTCTAATGCGTAGTAGGTCTCGAATACATTTGGGACTGTTTAGTCGAACACCCGACTGCAATGGATCCAATGGGAACGAAAACACGTGACAACTTGAATTAGGTAGGAAAGGTACATTCGAACTCCTCCGGTACTTGGTTCTTAGTGTCCAGTTACATTAGCAGAGGCACTTCGAAAAAAATGCGATTTCTCATAGCGCTTTAAAGGTCTTAGCATGTGAAAGACCAGCTGCACTGGTAGCCGCAACGGGTGTGAGAGAGGTTCGAACCCATTTGAAGGTACCGGGGCTTAAAAGCTGTAGTATTGTAAACTAGTTAAGTGCGGCTGGGATAGCCTAGTTATACTAGATGTAGATAGGTTACGGTTGTTAATTAAATCGATTCAGTTAATTCATAATAATTTAGGTTATGTCAAATTAGGTTAGGTTGAGTAGAGATATCTAATGTTAGTGCTGAACAAATAGCAACTTGTCATGCTCTAAACAGTTATAAGGGTCTGCCTGTGTTCTTCGTTTGATACTTTTTTTTTTTTAATTCTCATATCATTTATTCAGGTGTAGGGTATACATATAAGAATCATGAGAAAATCACAAGAAAACATATATGACTTACACATAACAAAATAACAATAAAATTCGCAAAATGAAATAACAACAAAGCAATAAAAGCGAGTTATGCGCGCACGTTTGCTGTAAATGGCGAAACGACTTCAACTTTTATTAGCCAAAAGACGCTTTGGAGCGGCAAGCGCTGTGCGATGGGAAGTGCAATGGTGCGCAGGCGCAAATATGAATGCCATAAACTGGTTTGCAACAAGCACACACCGCATGCACATACAAACTGATTGCAGCCAAAGAAGTATGCGCTCACCCGCTCGCTCGCTCGCACTGCTGCTGACCAGTTTAGTTGTTACCATTTGCCCCTTTGGCGCAGCGACTTTTATGGTTTTATTTTTATTTATTTTTTTTCATTACCAAACGCTCGCCGGTATCTCAGCCGTGCTGCAGCCTTTAACTAATTCACATGTTGCAAGTTTGCCAAGTTGTTTAACCACTTGCACTTTCAGCGGTGAGTTGCCAACGGCTCTCGGCGGTAGCTAAATATTTCAGATAATAACAACAACAACAATAACAGCAAGAAAATTAAATAAAAAAAGAAACTTTGTATATATGTTTGAGTACAGTGTGGTGCTGTACTGAATGCTGGCCAGCAACAGCAGCAGCAGCAGCAGAAACAGCGGTAGCTTACGAGTGACTTGACATAATCGCACGGCGACTCAAGGCAGCAGCCACCACAAATGTGTAATGTAATTGCAGTTGTTGCTATTGTAGTTGCAGCGCTAAAATGGCTACTTGCAATTTTGCATTAAACTCGTTTGTCATTCCTTGTGTGCGCCTCATTGCATTAATTCGCTTTACTTTTACTTTTATTTTTCTTCTTTCGGTCCAAACAATCAATCGATTTGTTTAAATCTTCACTCCACTTGTTGCCACCAACAAGCGCATAAAATGCTTTGAGCATTTTTTACATGCCTCGCGTGCTTTTTTAGTCAGCATATAGATTTGTCTTTGTTTTTATTTTTTTTTATTTTTTCGTTTCATTTTTGTCGTGTTTTGCCTTTTATCTCTTATTTAGCGTCTGTGCGAACCTTGGCTTCTTTCGTTAGGCCAGCAACCGCTGTTGACTTTTCAGTTGCCCGAGAGCGTATTGTGTTGTTGGAGATTTCTGTATATTTGTATATAAATTTTGTTAGCTGCTAGTCGTTGGTAGTTGTTGTTGGTTATTGTTTCAGCCTCCGATTTGTTGTACAATATACAAAAGTTTTTTAATTTTTATTTTTTTATTTTCCTTTTACTTTCGCTTTCCGCATACCGATTGAGTTTGCTGATAAATTTAGACGATTTGCTAATGGGATTGTCTAGCTGGCGAGCTGGCGAGCTGGCGAGCTGGTGAGCTGTCAGTGTAGACAGCTGAGAATTTAATATCAAAAAGTGGTTATGCATGAAAATGAAAATATATCTGGGCATATCTAAAAGTGCTTTAAATGGAGGGTAGGAAATGCTATTAGCTCAGCAATTCGTCCATCCTGCAGGTTATCGAAATTTTATATCTTGGCATTTGGACGGAGTTAAGGAGGGTTGAGTTTCACAGATTAAAAATTAAAATTTTTTTGTCACATAGATTCTTCAAAAGCTTTGAGAATATTTTCCTAAGCTTTCAAGTCGATCTGAATAAAACTTTAAGTTTTGCAGTCTCAAGATTGTGCGCGTACAAAGGTAGGCATGCCCAGCTCTTCAAACGTTGAATGCGTTTTTCTCGATAATGTGTTTCCAAGTCGGTTTTAATAGTCACAAAAACTGCGAAAAGAGAATCTTCATAAAATTTTACGCAAGTCTTCAATATGCAATTCACAAGGGACAGCACAAAGGATTTCCTTTTTTTTTTTTTTTTCAATTTATTTTTGAATAAAAATAAGTGGAACAAAATTTTCACTTTTAATTTTTCAATTTACTAAAAATCCAATTTTCAACTATTTTTGTTTTCCTGCGTTCTTCCTTGCTTTACGGTGTTGATATAAATAATTCAAACGATCCCATCCTGAGTTCTACTATCAACACAATGGCATCTTTTCCGAACGGTCATCGATAAAGACGTCACAATAACGAAGTTTTGAATATTTTCAACCAGGAAACGGCATGACAGAAAATAAAATATTTATTTTTTTTTAATAGAAAAGGGTTTGAAAATAGTTCTCTTTCACGGAATATGCCGAAATATTGCAGCTGAAGCACAAATCCGCAAGTTTACATTGGGTTTTGAGCAACAAATCTTGGATTTGCCTTAACAACATAAGTGCTTAGATCAATTTGATTTTTGCTTGAGTTACCATGAACGCTAGCTTACCTAAAGAGAAGTGTATCTTGCACCAGTCTATTCCAAGAAATCGCGTTTGTTCTTATTGCAAAAAGTATGATCAGAATACTCACGGTCTTTCTTTTTCTTTTCTTTTTTTTATAATCGGATATTTCTTAGTTCTATTGTCTATCGGCTGTCAACGTAGCTCTGAACCCAAGCCATCGCCAGTATTAGCAAAGATTTAAACCTCTTTGCCTGTATAAAGCGAAAAGTGCCCAAAGCTTGTATCCAAACCTCACTGGTTTACTTATTATAAATTGTTTGATCCCATGGTGACCAAAGTATTTGACGATCATTTCATCAATAGCTTTATTGAATTTAAATATTTCAAACTTTAGGAATGATTCATTAGCTTTTTCGATAATAAAGTGCGAATTTTGAAAGTTTTGTCAGTGTTATCAATTCTTGAGTTGTCATTGAAATGTAGATGAAATTAAATTAATGGAATGTGTGCATCATCATCGCTACACTAATAAAGTTAACTTTGAGGCAAGTGCTGATACGAAGAGAAAAACAAATTATCGTCTGAAATTGTATTTAGCGTAACAGGATGGAATACGCTTTCGCGGTAAATTGTACAGACGGTTTCAAAGTGCGATATTTATAGTACGGCTTATTTTGAATGTATACACAAGTTCCCAAATTATGCTTTGTTTATATTTATATTTACTATGTGTCAAAGATGCACCAGGTATTGCTGTGTGTTTGCTACAGAGGTCGAATTGTGTTCCATTAGGAAAACCCTAGGCCGCACACGTCTTTGGTGACGCGCCAAAAGCTCCAGGAGCTCGGATGGGGGTCCTAATGCACCCAACTTATAGTCCGGACCTGGCACAAGTGATTACCATATTTTCCTGTCCATGGCGAATGCGCCTAATGGTGAGAAGTTGGTCTCAAGAGAGGCCTGTGAAAATTGGATCTCCGAGTGTTTTACCAATAGGTACCTTCTACGAGAGGGGTATAATGAAGTTGGCATCTCGTTGGCAACAAGTTTACAAACCAAGCGGTACATATTTGACTTAAAACGGACAAATGTACACAAAACTATCATATTTCGCAAAATCAATAAAAAACACCGAACGAAACTTTGTATATAATGAATTTTTCCGATTTCGTGAATTTTATCAAATAGTGCCTATTGGTATATTTTTTGCATGATTGGTGATGATTTTTTGACGGATTTTTACTCAAACCCTCATATCTGAACAAATCGCTTGTATGGAGATTACATAACCAAAATCATATCTCGTATTCCTGAAAGGTGCAAAACTCGTTTGGGACAGAAATTATTTAATTGTTTTTGTATTAAATTGATAGCTTTATTTATCATAGTTAGAATTAATCAACTTATGTCAAATATGCAACAATTTGCTTGATAACTTTTTGCCATTTTGTTGATTATGCCTCTTTCATAGCAACCCTCGTGCTTATGTAAAGGAAATAATTGGTGCAATCGATTTTCACAGGCTTCTCTTGAGGACAATTTTCCACCAGTCAAATCATGTGCCATATACAAGTCGTAGATTATTGGGAAATCATTTCGTTCAATACAATAAGGAGGATGTATAAAGAAGAACATCCAAACCAAGATCTCGGAGTTTCTGACAAGTTTCTATGGGTCAATATGGGTTCGATCTTGTGAAGAATACGCCTTTGTCCCCTTTAATGGAATTTTCACATTGAATTAATATGTGCCTGAAAATAAGTTATATAACTGGACTTTTGGCCTTCGATATCAGCTATCAGGATATCTAACGTTTGATTCCAACCGAACCTACTTTGTCTTATTTGTTGACATATTTTCTTTTGTATTTGATCTCACTTTTTTTAGATTTCAGAAAAAATTTAAAAATATATATATTAATAAAATATTTTATTGTACTAAAATTTATTTTTCTTTCCTTCTCTTTCTAGGTAAGTTTCAAACATTGTCATTTCGAACTATTCTTTTATACCACATGGGCTAACCAATTCGGTGAGTCTCTTTGTTATGAATGTATGTAAAAATGACAACTAAGATGCAGAACTATGCATTTGGCGTTTTCGAAAATAAACGTAAATAAAGTGCATTTGAATTATTTTCCTCATTAAATATAATATATATTTTTTTCACAAAAATACGGTGTTTCGTCTTTTTCATAGAAGTAAAGTCCAATAGCACCAAAGAGCGCACCAGATAATTATTTTTTTTTCTTTTTTTTTTCTATCTCTAAAGTCCTCTCTTCACTCATTTTAGGAAGCTCAGAGTCTCGAATGCGTCTTTTCTGCTTATTTATGTAATGTGAGAGTGATAAATGTGTCTCGCCGTTGAAGGGAATTTCGTTAGAAAAATCGTCGTCCACTGCTTTCTCTTCAAGTACCTAATCGGCGTTTGAATGGTCAGCTGGCTTCAGTTGTTATGTGAGCTGTACTTTATATGATTGTAAGTGTAGGTTAGGTTAAGCTTGCTAACCCAGAGGCACACTACATGCAATCAAGCTGTGCTGTTACACTGCTATTGTGCCTCTCGTGAGAAGAACATTGCTGTTCATTTCGTGAACTTAAGTAGACGTTCTGGCCCTTTGGCCATTGCCGATTGGAAGTCCAAATGCCCTGATTACGTGCTCCACTCTCTCCACACCTTCCTTGCCTTTCCTCCTATTCTTGTCCGCAGTCTGCCCTAACTTAAACGCATGATATGCCTGAAGGCAATGCTCTGTTAATAGTCCCATCAGCAGCCTGGAGTCTGGTATCTTAAAAGGTAGTACAAGCCTTAGTTCGAAATACGCCATAATATGCCGCAAGAAAGTCTCAGCTCTTGAGGAGGTCGAGCAGCAAACATATTCAGGTGGAATCTGGTAACTTGGGCCGATGAGTCGTAAATCAATCGTTTGTGGGTTCAGATCGTCAAATTCGGCATGGTATGACCGAAAAGTTTACAACTCAAATCAAAATATTCAAAGTAGGCCTTAAAGTTTGGTTGCGGATCCTCAATGATCTGGCAATGTTTCCAAAGGAAAAAGTTTGGTGCTTTGCGTCGAATCGATGAAATTATGGTGGCAGAAAATTATGAAATTCTACTTTCATTCTTACCTTACCAGCATCGAAAAATTTGGTTGTGCATCTGGAGGTACTATCTTTATGCCAAGAAAGATAAAGATCCAAAGCATAAATCTAAAAACACATTAAAATGGCTGCAAGTTAACGGCGATTCTTGTTAAGATTGGCCTGCACAAAGTTCAGATCTCAACCTGGTTGGAAATTTATGGAACATTTGGATAGAAAAAATTTATAATTCGAAATTCAACACCTTAAACCTAAAAGGCTGCGTCTGGTGATTGTAGTGAAAGCCGGGCAGAAAATAAAAATAAAAAATTAAGTTAAACTTCCTAATTGCGGTCGCCCCTCGACAGCCGTTCCGAGGCGGCTTAATATAAACTGTGGGTCCCTACATTTTATTGGAAAAACATCAAGACGCAAAACCATAAATTGGAGTAGGAGCTCGGCCGAAAGTCGTTTCAGCGTTTACAAAGCACCAATCGATACATATAGATTTCAAAGTCCAGGGTTAGCCAACAGCAAAAACCATTTGCTTAGATATACTTTAATTGAATCCCACTCATTGCTCTCTTTTCCTAAAGTTTTAACTAACTAAATATGCTCCACTACGAAACATTCCCACTGAGGGGTGAGCTAGTGAGACGGATTGCCAGAGTATACTGAATCTATTGTGAGAACACTTCTCTGGCATGCTGAACAACAGTGAAAATGAAACATTCGGAGATGGTGAATGCGAAATCCCGATCGATGACGTTTGGAACAGATATTCCCGTACCTGACCATGTCGAAGTTCCAGTAACGATTGCCCGCTTAAAAAACCACAAAGCGGCAGGGGCTGAGCTATTCAAACATGGCGGGAGAAGCTGAAGCTGACAAGGTGCATGCATCAGCTTGTTTGTAGAATATGAACGGACTAAGGCATGCCCGGCGATTTGAACCTCAGTGTACTCTGCCCAATCCACAACAAAGGCGATCCCACAGTCTGCGCCAACTTCCGTGGAATAACATCACATATAAGGTCTTATCGAACGTTTTGTGTGAAAGATTAGAGCCCACCGTCAACAAACTAATTGGAACTTATCAATGTGGCTTTAGATCTGGTAAGTCAACCATTGAACAGATATTCACCAAGCGAAAAGATCCGTGAATATATGATCAACATCCACCGAATAGGAGCTGCCTTTACGCCGCTATGTCTGAATTTGGTAACCCAGCAAAACTTATACGGCTATGTAAACTGACCTTAACCAACACTTAAAACTAAATCAGCACCAGGCAGGACCTCTCCGAGCCGTTCTATGCCAAGCGAGGTCTCAGGCAGGGTAATTCCCTACCGTGTGACTTTTTCAACTTATTGCTGGAGAGAACAGTACGAGCTGCAGAGCTGAATAGAGAAGGTACAATCTTCTATAAGAGTGTCCAGCTGCTGGTGTATGCCGATAGGGTTGACATATGTCGTCCGAATGGATGAAAGCACTCCAGCTTTGAAAGTATTTGATGCAGTGCGCGCCGGTGGAAGCAGGGTAAGAGGAAGACCTACACTCCGTTGAAAGGATTCGTTTGAGAGGGACCTGGCCTCACTTGGTATTTCCAACTGGAGCAAACAGCGCAAAGGAGGAATGAATGGCGCGCTTTAACTAATTCGGCTATAATCGCGTAAGCGGTGCCAACGCCAATAAAGAAGAAGAAGAATATTTACAAAAATTCACTCTTTTAATCTAACTCCGATTTATTTCAAAATATCTGTACTTAACCTAAAATTGATAATTTTAACGGATGGCAGGTATATTAAATCAGTTTCGGAGAGGTATTTAGCTTGACATCCAGAAAATATTGTCAACAAAATGATATTTCATGGTATTAAGTTTCAGATCGGCACTTCTGAATAAATCAAAAATTGACAAAAAACAGGAAAAAATATTTCTGAGCACCTGTAAATCGGATCAACTCAATGCCGGACCTGCGTGGGGGATTAAAATTTGTTTCTAGGAGATCATTAGAACAGATAGTATTTAAATAAATTTTTTCTTTCCCAAGATTTATATATTCAAACCTATTGAAAAGCATTTTTTCAAATACATGAAACATGAGTCCATAAACCAAATAAGAAAGGAACCAAAGACTTGGAAATCTAATAAATAAATATAAGTGGTTTTTGACCCAAACTCCTTTCACAACCATTTATAGGTTGCCACTGCAGTTATTGTTCACTCGTACAGCCAAGTTACGCCCCAAAAACCTCAAATACCATAGGAGTTAATAAACAGCACCAGGCGCAGCGTACATGCATACACACACATACGTGCATACAAGCACAAAGAGCGCCACAACTACGCCGCCGGCAGGAGCAGCAACAGCAACAGCAGCAACAGCACCATATTATTATTATTTGCTATCAAATTTTGCGGAAAATCAAGTGCCGACCAACGGTGCCCTGTATGCCGGTATACGGCAGTGTGTGTGTGCGTGTAAGTGTTGATATTGCGAATTTGCCAATAGCGCGCTAACTAACGGGACAACTGCTGCAATTGACAGCTTCAGTAGGTTGGAGTAGGAAGCTTTGTTGTTGCTGCAACTACTACAGCTGTTGTTGCTGTTGTTATAGAAAGGAGTCGCAGGCTTTTTGCCCTGGGCAAGTGGAAATAATCACCAACTTCATAATTTCCAAACATTCATTTTATCCATCATTAACGCTCGGCCAGCGCACAGTGGGTTAAATCGTGCTCAAAATGGAGTTTATTTTCCACGAGCTTTCTAGTTACTGAAAAGTTTTTTTTTTTAGTTAATTAATCATAAGGCAGTATAAAAATGCTATTGGAGTTTTTTAAAGGATTTTATTTTTCTAAAAAAATTCAAAAAATAAAATATTGTGACTATCGGTTTCAAACAGTTTTTATTTGTTTTTTTTATTAACATTTTATTGAAAATATATAATCATATTCATAATCGTAACTATCATCGCTTGAATTGTCATCATCGCCTTCACCATCATCATCATCATTAACTTCATTATTATTGACATTCTCCTTCACGATCTTCGCTAAGCCTTCTTCCCGCAAATTCTGCACATTTTTTGTGTTTATTTTCTCCTGGTAAATGTAACGGGCGGCCGTGTGTTAGCCGAGTGGTTAGCATTGTGTACTGACATTCAGAAGGCTCGGGTTTAAATCCCGGTGCCACCAACATCCAAAAGTTATGGAAAATTAATTAAAAAAAAAAATTAAGTCAAATTTTCTATTTGCGGTCGCCCCTCGGCAGGGAATATCCACCCCTCCTAGCTTATTTCGGACATGAAATAAAGGCTCCTAGTAAAAAAAAGGCAGCAGCCGTTTGGAGGCGGCTTAGTACAAAGTCCCTTCATTTATTGGAAAAATATCAAGTCCCGAAACCAGAAATTGGAGAAGGAGATCGTCCGAAAGATCGCTTCAGCGGTTATAAAGCGCCAGTTATATATATATACATTGATATAACGGTGTCAGAACTGTTTAAGAGTCTGTTGAGTATGTCTCCATTTGCTTTTTCCTGCTGCTTTAGATCTCTTTTTTGAGCTCCATGAGCTTCCCCTTAAGATATTATCTCTGTTGTTGGGGAGATGTTATACCAAAGATGACATTCAATGAAATATTTTGATGTATTTAAAGCGTAATCACTAAACTTCTGTAGGTCAACATGATGGTGTCTAGTGGAAACAACTACAAGTGTGGGATGCATCTTTTAAATCAAATTTATTGTGTTGGCGCAAAAGAAATAGGCGATCCTTCAAAAGAAAATAAATACAGTTTTCTTTTTATTTATAATAAACTTTAATCAATTACGGATGACCTTTTGCCCTCCTTCCGGCTTCAACATTGTTCCACGCTCATAGAACTTCTGATCTTTATCTGCACAAAAGTGAACCAAGTGTGATTTTAGCCTCACCATTTTCGAAACTTTTACCATTTAATGATTTCAGTAAAGATCGAAACAAATGGTAATCTGACGGTGCAAGGTCATGGCTATGTGGTGGATGCATCAACAGTTCCCAGTCAAG